ATAATCATGTAAGGATATTTTGTATGTAACATCAAAGTGACCGTCCCCATTCAATCAAGTCAAAGAAATAATAAAAACTTTATAAAAGTATATCGTACCCATTATGAATCAAAATCAAGGTTAAAACGGATGTATATCTATATTTTATCCACCTTTTGTGGCCAAAACAATTCTCCTATTTTCACGTTTTTATTTGGATGAGAACCCACCAACATAGAATAAAAATACGATTGAGTATTCATTATTCTTTTCGAAATCTATATTAAAAACTAAGATTTACCAATAGTTGAATTATGCAGTTAAACGATAAAATTTGTCACCAATTTTATTTAGTGATGAATTTCTACTAATTATGAGCAGACTAACGGTGAAATTTATCGCTATTTTTTCTTTAACATACTTATAAAATTATACTCAAAAGATGTTTTATGATGAAATTTGATTTTGCAAAATATATTACAAGCATAATACATGAATGTGTCCTTTAACTTGGATTCAAATTACATTTATATCTTTCAACTTTTGATGTATATAAATAGACACTTAAACTTGTATAAAATTGAACAAATAGACATGCATGTCCTACATGTCATTTTTTGTTCTATGTGGTGTCTTATGTGCATTGTGTCATGTATAACTCATGTGTATATTTATTTAAAAAATTGAATAGTTAAAATGCCTATTTATACGTTATGAAAATTAAAAATTAAAATAAAATTTAAGCCAAATTTAAATCTAATATATGTATTATGCCTATATTATAATCGTTTGCTGTTTGGATAAGAATTCTGTCTCATCTTAAATCATTGTGACATATCATAAGATTGCTTTTAATTTCTTCCACGTAAAATTTGGTCAAATCTTTCACATCTAGCTTTCCACTATGAGAGTTGACAAGTGCGTAGACTGTACACTAGTGTACTACATAATTTAATCCATAATAGTTTGTATGAAATTAGTGTTTTTGGTCTTATGGATAAGTTCGTGGGATTGTTACAAATATTTAGATAGTACTCTGAAATATAAATTGTGTATCAAAGCTAAATTACGATTATTTTAATTAAGATTATGGTACAATAATATTTCACCTTTGTGTCAGAACACCTGCTCTAGTTCACATGCATGCACACAATTCTATGTATATTCTTGGTATATGTAAATGATGGGAGGAAAATAAAACATACATTGCATGTGTATAATTAGAGAAATGTAGAAACATACTGTATATCTGGTATCATATATAGGTCACACTATTCTCTGTCTGTTGAACATGAAATGTTTGGTCAATTTTCCTCTAAGTTATTTTCTTAATCAGAACTTGTCTCCAAATACTGTACGTTTACATTTTACTTTTTTCTTCACCTCAATTTCGTCTTAATTTGAACTCGAAATTATAAAATTTGCAATTGTTAACTTTCGCGATAAAATTTTGTTAGTTGGATCCCAACAAGATCCGGTTTATTAGCTAAATAATGGACTAATATTGGAGCACATCCCTAAAATATGGGAACTTTGAAATGCATTATGTAGCTTAGCTAAGCCAACCCCAATTATCAGTGTACCAAAATTTCAGAAAATGGGACCAAGTTTTTGTTCTATCATTTTCAGAATTAACTTTATTTTTTTAAAAAAAATTTAAGTCTCTCCGCTCAAACTTTTTTCAAAATTGACATATCCCTTTCACATTATACGTAATCTATTATTTTAATATATTTCTTCGATTCATATTACTTTAACTTAAATATATTTTTCACGTAAAAATGATGAATACAATTAGTGAAACACGATTCATATCCATACCTAAGTTGTGGTTAATGAGAGTTCATCCACATTCCTAACCATCGATAATGTGAATCGTAGTTACTTTGAAATCTACTTCCTTATCAAGTCTCCTAAATTAGTATTTACGATTACAAATAGAATTTAGACAAGTGGAATCTAATAAATTGATCAAGTGTAACAGTGTTGTTTTGTCTTAAATTTTTCTTTTTTGAGAAGAACAATGTTCCACGTTGGTGTCTTTAAGCCAACCTGTCTCTTGTGTCACTGTATACATGTTGTCTATGAATAATAAAAAGCCACCACATATATAATAAAGTTTTTTTTATAATCCCCGACAATATTTACACGTGGCAGCTTGTTAGTGTATAGGTCGTTGTTGGCCATTTTGACACGTGTGATTATTGTACCAAATAAAAAAAAGTTAGTTATAGTGATTTCTGATGAAAATGGAAGGAGCGGGGGACATAATTTTATGACATTGAAAAATACGTTGCTGCTATGTATTATTAATAAACAGTTAAATTAAAATAATGGTAGAGAATCATATAAATTGAAACGAAAAGAATGATGTTTTTGAATTATTTGAATTAGTATATGTATTTATATGTGAATTAGCATATGTTAAGGAATAAATAAAATATATATAGCATTTGGAATTAAGATAAATAAGTTGAATCAGTTAGAAAGTACTTGAGAAGTGATTAGGAAATAGAGTAAATGAAACATATTATTAATTATGATTAAGATGAGTTGAATCAACAGACAAGAAACTAAATATAAATACGAGGGTGTGTGTTTGGGTGGATGGGTGGGTGGTGTATTTTGAGCGAAGGTTGACAATAAGAGTGTAGAAATATGATAATGAAAAGAAAGAATAGATTCATATAAAATTTTTCTAAAAAAAAATTATCGTTATTGAATCAGTTATAAAATATGTTCTTATTTACGAGTCTATTGTTTTAGCACAAACTAGGCTATCTCGAAAAAAATGGGGGTCAAGGAAAGTCCATGTCATTGTCTTAATACACGTTGCATGAGTAATTTAAAAGAATGTGACATTTAATAAAAAAGGCACCCTTATAATTTATACCACGCTTTTTAAATGTTTAATCTAATAAGCTACCATTATAAAAAATAAGTCAAGTCTAAATTATGTCTAATTCCAAGTTAATGATCTCATATCAATCATTTTAATAGTCATTCCATTCCATACCATGAATGTTTCTCATCAATCAATTTTCCATTTGAACAATAATATCATTTTGCTTAGGAAAATGACCACGTTTTTTAATTAGATTTTCTAAAAGATTCAATGAATACTTTCGATAAAAGAAAGTTTCAAGTTTTTAACACGTTTATTACACAGTTTCAAAGACTAATTTACCGTGATCACTCAATTTTAAATCGTTATTTGTAATTAAAAAAATCACTCAATTTTATTTCTGTAGTATATAGTTTTCTACCAATTAGTACCATAGGACTATTTGAACCTTCCTAAACTATTATTTTTATGAGTGTATATATCAAATACATTAAAAAAATAATATTAGAGACTTTTACGAACCGATAGGTTCCCAAATGTCCCAAATGTATTTATAATCATTTCCCATTATTAAAAACTAGTATAAAGGGTGCCATGTAAAGCCATTATTGATTCATGAATCAATTGTTTTGTGGGGAAAGGGTGCCCTTTCTTTTTTATTCCAATGGATCATCAAGACAATTTATCTGATAATCGTGATTCAGAAGAAAAAAAAAGTATACAAAGAGAAGAAGAAAAAATAATAGTGTTCTCTTTTTTATATTCAATTGATGTTCGATATATATTAAAATTTAACTGATTAATTTAAATTTATACGCCGAATGTAATACGTTTTTTTCATTATCAAAGATTTAAATTTAATTTCTTATTAACTATCTCAGTACAATTTAGTTGATAAACATATTTAATTTTGGTACACATTTCTACATCAATCCTAGGTCCACCGTCCATTGCACTCACCCACATAGTACTAAGTTCAAAAAGTTAGTACTATGCTATCCAATGTTCGAAATTATTACTTATGCTATCCAATTTAGGTGGTGTTTAATTAATCATAAAATTTGAAAAAGTTAAAAACAACATTTAAAATATGTTATATTAAACACAAAATCTTAAGTATATTTGTTTGACTGTCAATCATATTATCAGGAATAACACGAAAAGTTGAAAATCAAAATTATATTTATTATTAATGGAGTTTGAACTTTGAACCCTTCGTACAAACATGTAAGTATATCAATTGTGAAAAGTATGAATGAGCTGGCTTAATTTCAAATTTATGTTAAGTTTGATATATTTTAAATATGTTATGACAATATCTTCGACATTACTTTTTTCTAGATATTTTACACAAATATCTAACACTATGTTTAAATCAAATACAAAAAATTCCTCCAACCCTTTTCTTTTTCTCGCATTACACTAATTATTTATGATAGAATGATTATTTTTCATCTATATTATTTATAGCATTTCTATTTAAGGATAAAATTGACGTGTATTTTATTTTTTTTCAAACTATATTTCATTACAACTTTCCTATTTATGATTACTCAATTATGATAAGAGTTACATTTATTTTGTTCCTTTTAGACTTTACATTTATTTTGTTCCTTTTAGACTTTACCTTATGACGATTTTTCTATCCACAATTAGGATAAGATCTACGTGTATCTTATTCTTTTTAGACTTTACATTATTGAAGACAATACATATTTAGACATATTCACTATCATATATAAGATTATTTATTTATACTTTTGAAATATTACGTATCTTAGCACTAATTAAGAGTTTCGTACCATATGTTGAGAAAGATACATGCATTGTTGCAACCAAATACTTTAAAATAAGGAGAGAGATAAACAAGATTTTGTATACATGCAAATTCACTTAGATATAATACATTTAAAATAAATTTGACTATATATTTGGATGTATCTGAACACACCAAAATATAATGAAATATATAATATTCAAAGTAAGATATATGTAAGTAATTAAATTTCCATCCACAGTAAGGATATGAATTGCCTATATATATTTTCATAATCCAACAGTAAGATTATACTGAATATATTATTAATTCGAATTTATTGTGATTTTGGACTTGATGGAGAGTCCTATAAATAGGACAGCAGGGTGTTTCAGAGTGTTCACAACTACAACTAAGTTCCAACAGTTGTAACAAGAAATACTTGTCTTAGATAGTAAAACCCAAAGTTTTGATCTTTTCATTGTTATTCTTCTTCTAATAACCATTTTAAGTTTCATCAAAGAAAACAATGGTGGTTTTAACAGAACCTGACAATGATCACTTACCAATAATCAACAGCAATTCTTGCAAATCCCCCTCTTTCTTCAATGATATTCCTGTAATAGACCTCTCTAAACCTGACTCCAAGAACCTCATCGTTGAGGCCTGCGAAGAATTCGGATTCTTTAAAGTCGTAAACCATGACGTTCCTATAGAATTCATAAGTAAACTCGAATCCGAAGCCATCAAATTCTTCTCCTCTCCCCTCTCTGAGAAGCTAAAAGCAGGGCCTGCTGACCCTTTTGGCTATGGCAATAAACAAATCGGACAAAGTGGCGATATCGGTTGGGTTGAATACATTCTCCTTTCAACAAACTCTGAATTCAATTACCAGAAATTCGCATCTGTATTAGGTGTCAATCCAGAAAACATTCGGTAAGTCATTAAAAGCAGAGCAAAACAGAGTGATGTCTTTTAATCTCGATTCTTGATTTTTGTTATTGTTATTGTTATTGCAGAGCTGCGGTGAATGATTATGTGACAGCAGTGAAGAGAATGTCATGTGAGATTCTTGAAAAGTTGGCGGAGGGATTAAAGATTCATCCGACGAATGTTTTCAGTAAGCTTTTGAAGGATGAAAAGAGCGACTCTGTTTTCAGGCTGAATCATTATCCTCCATGTCCTGATATTCAAGAATTCAATGCCAAAAATTTGATTGGATTTGGAGAACATACCGATCCACAAATCATATCGGTATTAAGATCCAACAACACATCCGGCCTTCAAATTTTACTCAAAAATGGCAACTGGTTTTCTGTGCCACCTGATCAGAGTTCTTTTTTCGTCAATGTTGGCGACTCATTACAGGTATGCGACATACCCTCATCAAAATTTCCTACTTGTCTAGTGAAATAGTATGATCGTTCAGAACTCATAAACTTAAAATCTTGAATTTGCGTGCAGGTGATGACTAATGGAAGGTTTAAGAGTGTGAAGCATAGGGTGTTGACAAACAGTGTAAAATCAAGATTATCAATGATATATTTTGGAGGACCACCATTGAGTGAAAAGATAGCACCATTGCCATCACTAATGGAAGGAGAAGAAAGCAGCTTGTACAAAGAGTTTACATGGTTTGAGTACAAAAAATCAGCTTTCAAATCTAGACTAGCACAAAACAGATTAACCCTGTTTGAGAAATTTGGAACCTCATAGTGGTTTTTAACGAGAGACAAAGCCAGAATTTAAAGTTTATCATTTTATATGTACATATTTAATAGATTCCTCCGCAAATATACCATGTTTGGATCAAAAGGGTAGTGATATCGAAAAACTCAAATGATTTTCCTTTGATAATATAACAATATGTTGTTCGATCAAACTCAAATGTTTTTATTTCTAAATGCTTCATAGATGTCTATCCTTATTCCTTGCCTTCATCGATAAAGATTCATCCCGAGTTATATTTGACCCCATTATTATTATTTTTTTTAAAAAAATTATATTACAATTTATTTAAATTCATAGTTGAAAAATTTGTGTATGTGAACCATTGATATTAAAGAGATTTTTTTTTTCCTGGATAGGGTTATGAGATGGAATTTATGAACAAGTTTGTGATAGCGTGTACTATCATCAACCAAGTTATATATATAGTGATGATACTTCACATGATTATTCCAACTTTGTTTTCACAAAAATAACAAAGAATGTTCTTGTATTTATGCTTATTTCTCACAATATTAAATGTCATCAACAATGGAACAAAAAGAACATCACCAATGATTTGATATTTACAGCAATTCTTTATTTCCTTCAATCAAATCAACTAGAATTGACAACTGGAACACATAGCAATTATGAAAAAGGTCTGTCTATGAAAATGAAGGCTGTCCATGATATTTCGAAGAAATAGTTTAGTATACTAAGCTTTCGTTACGTACCATAAATCTTCTCCTGTATTTTTTTACATGCTATTTTCACGTCTCGAAGTTTTACATAAAATAAATCCAGTTGAAGAAACAATGATATATACAAAAAAAATTTATTGTTTGATTCAACTTTTAGGTTTGAAGAGCTACGATTTGAAAAAAAAAAGCATGAATTAGGTCATCATTTTTGGACGATTAGGTTGATGAGGAGAAGAGGAAATTAGGGTTCTACAAAAGAAAAGATTTACATTCAAATATGTAATGGGTTGGATATTATCTTTGGAGGGTCAAATTTTATTTTAAAAAATGCTAAAAGATGAATTACGCGCCCTTCAAAGCTATACCAACACGCGCAGGAAGCTGAAGCTCGAAAAGTTGAAAATAATTCACACCAAACACATGTTAAGGGGTATATAAACATCGATATAATTTAAGTACTAAAGCGAATTTTCGTGTCAAGTTAAAGGGAAATTTGATGTATTTTCTCTTTAAAAATAAATGAACGAAGTCTTTTTCCCTCCCTTCTTTTTGGTAGGGCCGCACCAATGCAGGCCCGTGCTGTCATAAATTGTGTTATGAGTTCAGCCACTTGAATCAACTTCAGGGGCGGACACCCCTCCAAACTGTAATAGAAGTCACGAGTTTAAATCATGAGTTAACCTCGTTTAGGTAAATGCAATAGAAGTCACCAACCCAGGGGAAAGTGATATATTCAGCCATTTTACCTTATTTTTTAAGCCAAAAATAATTTTAAAAAATATTAAACTCAATTCATTTTAACTAAGAGCCACCTGCCCACTCAATATTTGACTGGTAATTAAGCTCTTTTTTAAATGATAAACACAAGGGATGAAAAGGTCCAAAATGACAAGCTTAGTACTTGTAATTGATTTTTGATCACTAGAAAATTCACTAATTGAAGCTAGATAACTCCGTCTATGAGTTTATCTTAGATGTCTTTTTTTATTCTAGCACCCTACAGTCTAAAGGTTTAAATTTAAGCACGTCTAAGATTATTGACACAATTTATATGGTAGATTGAAGTAAGGATTGATATCCAAGTCATCATCGAAAAGAGAAATTTCAAGTATTTAGGGTCAATAATTCAAGGAAATGGAAAGATTGACTATGAAGTTACACATCATACTGAAATATGATGGGTGAAATGGAAGTCCGCATCCAGTGTCTTATGTGATAAGATGTGCCATCAAACTTTGAAGGTATGTTATATAAAATGGTGATCGTGTCTGTCATATTGTATGGGGTAGAGTGTTGGTCGGTCAAGTATCTGCAATTCAAAAATACGAAAGTCATGGAAGTGAGGATATTGAGATGGATATGTGAGTATGCAATGAGAGGTAGGATAGGAATGAAGCTATTCATGACAAAGTGGGAATGAATTCTGTGGTGGACAAGATGAGGGAGGCGAGACTGAGATGATTCTAGCATGTTTGAAGAGAAGATTCACAGAGCCCCATTGATGAGATACGAGAGATTGACTATAAAAGGTATAAGGAGAGGTATGTAGAGGTAGGCTGAAATGTTTTTGGAATAGAGGTAATTCCACAACACGCGATTCACTCAAAGCTTACTTAAGCATATGACCTAGATAGGAAGATATGAAAATCAAACGTTAGAAGAAGTTTAATAAGTAGTCGAGTGTTGTTCAACAAATTTATCATTCTATTTATAATTACTCTAAAACCATCTTATTATATTCTTTAATTTTAGTTTTATTGTAGGCAATGGAATTGGCAATTGTACAAAAGAAAAGTTCTCTGGAAGTTTGCCACTTAGAAATCGCTGCTGGAAGCAGCTATTTTCCTTTTTTTTTCTTTGTAAATTTTAATTAAGTTTTTTTTTTTAAAAAAAAAGATTAAAAAAATAAGCTAAATTGCTGTAACAAAAATGATTTATTTAAAATAAATAATAAAAAATTGACTTGCAGCGATTTAAGTTAAAAAAATAATTTAAAATTTTTTTTGGTACAATTTGTTTTTTTTTTATTTATAATTTCTAATAAATAATTTGGCAGCGATTTAATTTTTTTAAAAACAACAAAATTTGCAATAAACAGCGATCTTTTTAAATTTTCTTTTTTGCAAATCGCTCCCGCAGGAGCGTTTTATTTTTAAAAAATAAAAATAAAATAAAATAATTTAAAAAAAGATTGCAACAAAGGCAGCTATCTTTTTATTTTTTTATAAAAAAAATAAATCATATCTCGTAAAATCGCTAGTGTTGCAGCGATTTTGTCGTTTTGGTTAAATTTAAAATTTTTATTAATATTTTATACTGATTAGGCTTCGAACTCGTGTTCATAGGTTTCGATTGAATATTAGATGATCCTAATCACATCGTCCTGTATTAAGAAAGTCTTCTCCCCGGATGTGGATGACGTTCATCTTGAGGGCATCAAGCAAATACTTGGAATTTCGTCTAATTACAAGTTGAATAAAAGAAAATGACTGTATTTAGATATTTTATATAGAAAAAAGATGTATTGCAGAAGAAGACATAAAAAACTAAAATAAAATTTTGGACGATTTTCTCTGTCCTCTTCGATCGTTTTAATATTTTACTTCCTATTGTCTCACTCCCTTTCTTAATCATAATAATTCAACGGTTGGGTCCATATTCCTATCAATTCCCTAGCCAATAATAGTATGCCACGTGTGTAAATATGTGATAACTGTACATAAAAATTTTCTTGAGTCATAAAAGTGTGAGAATGCCATAAGAAATTATTGTGTTATGTTATGTTCTTACCAACTAAGGAATCAAAGAATCTCTTTAGGATTTTATCTATCAAAGGAAACAAAAGGTATGCTTATAATTTCCCCATGTTGGGTTTTTACCAAAATACTCATTTTTTTCCATGTGGGGTTTACTTTTTGTGAATGAATATGAATTAAAGATTCAATTTTTAGTACATGGTGTTGATAAAGATTATATTGTGTTTTTATCTTTGTTGTGTGCTATTTAATTTTTTTTTGAATAAGTTGTGTGAATTTTATTTGGCAAAGTTTTAAGAAAATAAATAGAACTTTTGAATCATTATTTGTATGAATTGTCATTTAAGTTCTCTTACTTAGAAAAAATGCTGAGGTTTTTTCCCCTTTGAATTCAGTTTTAGTCATTGGTTGAACTTAACTTTTGCAATCCCCTTTCTTCATTTAGACTGTTGAACTTATTTTTTTTATCATGTTATGCATAATTTCAGCAATATGCTTAAGTTCATGAGTACAGAGTATTACAGGGCCTCTTGCCCTCTTAATAATTGTGATTCTCTATAACCAAGTAGTCTCTGGATACGCGCTTTGTACGTGTTACGTATTCACGAGTATGTAAGATTTAAAAAAATTGCATAAATGCAATATAGCAATGCTTTTGACTTAATTAGATATTTCATCTGTCTCAACTTATCTGACATTGTTTGGTTGCGCATAGAGTTTAAGAAAAAAAAAGAAAAGACTGTTGTGATACCTTGGATTTCCACACATAATGGATCCAAGAATGTACTTTGCTGCAATGAAAGGCAGTATGGAAGATGGTGATTTTTCAGTTGTTGATCATCTGACAAAGGAGGAAGAAAATGGTTACCAAGTCACTCCAAAGGGAAACACAATCCTCCATGTGGCAGCTCTCTTTGGCCAACGAGCTTTCGTGGGAGAAGTCCTTAAGATTAGCCCGGCGTTGTTATGTTATAAGAATAAGAAAAATGAAACTGCGCTTCACATTGCAGCTAATGTAGGACAAAGTGAAGTGGTGAGTGAACTACTCAGCATACAAGGACAGGAGACAGTACTTGTGAGGATGAAGGATGACATTGGAGATACGGCCATGCACAAGGCCGTTAGAAGTGGACACATTGACATTGTTAGGATCTTGGTGAAATTATTACTAGATCCTGAACACGATTTCCCAGCAAATAAAGCAGAGGAGACACCACTTTATTTGGCAGCGGAGTCAGGTTTTCATGATGCTTTGATTGAAATCTTGAACGTTTGCAAAGAACCAACACATGTTGCAGGTCCATCCAATCGAACACCTCTACATGCAGCTGTGATTCAAGAACACACGGGTTAGTACGTACCTTCTGGGATGGTTTCATCCTATGGAAAATGATTAAATTTGTCCATCTACTTATAGAAAGAAGCTATAAATATATATACTCCTACAGTCGTATATACTTTATGATGTTGTTAAACGAAAAAAATCAATTCATTTATCATCATATATAACATTTGACTAATATATATCCAGAATGCGCGAGATTACTATGGCAATGGAATAAACCTTTATGTGAAGAATCTGATATATGGGGTTGGAATTCACTACACTATGCGGTTAAACAAGGATTGACAGAAATAGTTTCGGATATGTTGGGATGGAAGAAATCTTTAGCCTACCTTCCGGCAGGCAGTGAAAATGATTGGACTACAGCATTTCACATTGCAGCTAGTGAAGGTGATGCATTGATGATATATGAGTTATTAAACCACTGCCTGGATTGTTGGGACATGGTTGATAGCAATGGCCAAAATGCACTTCATGTTGCCATATTGAAAGGTCATAATGAAACGTTGCTCAACGTGTTATCACTGGAGTCGATAATTTGTGATAGCCTTGTTGATGAGGCAGATAATGAGGGGAACACTCCACTCCATTTGCTTGCTGCCTCTGGGAACCGTGTGCCTCAAATGATATTAGACCATCCAAGCGCAAAGAAGATGGCATTTAACAAACAAAATCAGACTCCACTTGACATAGCATTGTCTAGTACATGGACAATAAAGAAGGTACTCCCTCTTGTCCATGACATACTGGATCCGTTTTCCCCACTTCTTTGAAAACAACTTCTCTACCTCGGGAGTAGGGATCCTATGGTCTGCATACACCTACCTCTGGAGTAGGGATTTATTCTTCTTGTTGGTAAAGATGTTTTTTTAAATGACAACTATTTTCGACTATCTATTTTTAGTAAGGATGAAAATAAAATGAACCAGTTAGTTGTTAAATTCATCTTTTTCTCAAGGAGTATCTTTGACCAGCTGATTGATTCTATTACTACATGTCACATATATTATTTAGGAGAAATTGGTAGGCGATTTGTGCAGCATAAATGGACGATTGGGACAACGTGACTTCAAGGTAAAACGGAAAACAGAAACTATTGGTAACATACGACAGATGAGGAAGGAGGATGATCAGGACAAAGCTAAGAGAGACAAAATAGAAATAGAAAAAATTATGAAGGCAGCTCAAATACAAGTAGTTGTAGCTACTCTCCTAATGACAGTCACGTTCGCTGCTGGTTTCACATTGCCAGGAGGTTTATACAACGATGACAGTCCTAATAAAGGGATGGCTATTCTATTAAGGAAAACAGCGTTTCGTGCATTTGTTATTTCAGATGTCCTGGCATTCGCATTCTCAGCTGGTGCAATATTCATCTACTTCTTCATGGCAGATTGCGATGTAGACGAAGATGAAGAATGTAAAAGGGACTGGTTCAAAGTTTTAAGAAGTTATTATTATATAGCAGGTATTTTGCAACTTTTGGCAATGGGTGCTGTTGTAATTGCATTTGTAACTGGTATGTATGCTACTTTAGCAAATTCACTTGCACTTGCTATTAGTGTTTGTGTCATTGGTTGTGTCTCTTTTCTTATGTACTTTTGGATTATCATTTGGGTATAAAAAAACAAGAAGAAACTCTCAAGGGATCTTGCTTTTTAGGCCTATTGAGCCAACAAACATACTTTGTAGTAATGCTCAAGTTGCCATCAAATACTTGGCCCAAACATACTTTGTATTAAAGTTTATGGTTAGACTAATATTGAGTGCTAAATAAGTACTTCTTTGTATATTTTCAAGTGAATTTTTATTGAACTTTGAAATTGGTAATTTTATGGTTGTATTGGAAATTTCCTCTTTTTTATATATTAAAGACTTATAACTTATATTAGACCAGATGAAAAACATTATTTTGAGAACTTTCTATTCATGTTTTAGAAATCAAACTATTAAAGACTTTTTTTTTTCTTTTGTTTATAATTTTCCTTTTTCCTCAAATAAAATCTACTAAAATAAAAGGTCAAAATGTCAAGATTAGACCAGAAAAATATATTTTATAAAACTTGAGTACCATCAAAAATTAAATATTTGTTTGCTTGTCTCTGGATATTGATGATATTCATCTTAGTGACATTAAGCAGATACTTGCAATTAGAAAAAATAGGATCATTTTTAGATATTTTAAATATAAAAATAAAAATCCATCATAAGAAGACATAAAACTAAAAAAAAAAATACTATGAAATTAAGGAGTCATAAAGTGTGAGAATGGCATATGAAATTAAGGAGTCATTTGCTTAGTAAATGCAGGGATTAAAAATGTAAAGATTAGTGATGTACGAATTAGTAGCTTATGGATTATTTTTTGTTTGGTTCACTATTTTCACTTAATCTTGTATTTGATTTATAACTCTATAAAAAAGTATTTTCCTATTACACCTTGTGTTATTATAAAATTGTTTATTTCATGTAATTGAATCAAAATAAATAATCGGACCATAACACTATAATTTATTTATTTAAGAAAATAACAACAAAGAAAAAGAGTGTTACATGAATTAAAACAAGTATTTTCTTTTGTGCACATAATTAATAACAAGAATTTAACACTAGGCAACATTTGAATAAAATTCATAGTAAAAAAAAAAAGCTAAATCTTTGTTGTTGTTTTTTCTTCCGATTTTACCCTGTATAATTATTGTATATGGCAATCGGATGTTGACAAAAGAGTTTAAACTTAAAATGGAGATCCATAAATATACTTATACAATTTTATACCAAAGTCGCTTACCTCGATAATAATTAATTGTTATGAATCAGCCCAATCCCAATAACGATACTAACAAGTATATCACATGGATAGGTTTTGGGTTAAGTAGACTCAATACAAGCAATAAGGTCTGACATTCACAAAGGATAATTTGGGATCCATACTGAGGGTATTGTTAAATAGAAGATGGCATCACTGTGAGAGGTCATCAATGAGTTATGTGCAAACGTGTTTTGTATTCTCATCCCCAATTCTAAAGTCTAAGTTTTTCATCTCCATTCTTATCTCTATCGTTAGTTACTTGTTATTTCAATATTTTTATTGTAATTCGATAACTTGATTAACATAATTACAATATTAGAGTAGTAATACCATTCCACTGCTTATATTAATATACTGAGGATTTTAATTTGTTAAATTAATCAAAGTTGTTGTGGATAATATTGTTTTTATTTTAGAATTTTCTATTTCATGTAACTAGTTAAAGTTAAATATATACCTCAAGAAGATCCTTAATGGCATATTTTTTATTTTTTGTTGGTCAAGTATATCTTAAGCTTAACATAGATTTAAGATCACTTATATTGTTCAATAGGTAAAGCTACCTATAGTAGGTATTTTGCAACTTTTGGCAATGGGTGCAGTTGTAATTGCATTTGTAACTGGTATGTATGCTACTTTAGCAAATTCACTTGCTCTTGCAGTTAGGAGATCGTGTTCTTACTAGTAATAATCGGACAACGTACATAATCTTAATTTGAAGTGATGAGGTGTGCTTACAATTCAAGCAAGTCTCCGTTGTCTAATATAGCTAGGAGATAAAACTTAATACTATTTTTTCCTTTATGTATAGAGACACGTGATTGTAATTTGTGAATGATACTATTTGTTCTAGCATGATTTGCTTGAATTATTTTTCCCATTTTTCTTGTTTTTGTTTCGAAATGAAGTAAATCGATTTGTGATTTATTAACACGTTTATTTTTATTCAACAAGATCCAATTACTAGCTTGATTTCTTTAGGATCGGAGGCAATGTATGTAGCCATGTGTTTGTCTAAACAAGTGTACCATGAGTCTATTTACTTTAGTGTATATATTGTACTATTGTAGGTAGAACTTTATGACTCTTGTGTGAATAAGTAAAGCATGTTTAAATGGAAGTCACCAACCTAGGCCATGGACCTTATTGATCGCTCACCAACCTAAATCATTTGTGATAATGTGATAAGTCACTTATCTTTTGTAATTTTATTCAAAGGCCATTCTAGGCGGAAATTAATACATTCAACCATTTTACCTTAATTTTTAAGCCAATAAATAAATAAATATTAAATCCACCTACGTGAGTATTAGGGGTTTATTTAAACACTCTTGTCAATAAATTACATTATATATATAAGATAATTTTTTTGTATTTAGTTTTGAACCCCAAACTAACAAAAAGTAAATAGTGGCATAGTGGTAGGTCTCTTTAATAATTGACTTTCACGTTTAGGGTTCAAATTCTATTGTAAACCGGGGGGCTAAAACAATAAATTTAAACCTAAAAAAATTAAAGGGTCTATTAGAAAAGGCTAAAATTCACTTTTTATCTTCCCAAATTCCTTAATCACTTCATTATTTCTTCGCTCAAGACTCAAGAGCCAAATATTAAATCACTTTTCAGATCTCTTGAAATGGAACTAACTTTTGTATACATAAACTACATACTGCTACTTTTTTTTGGAATTGTGTTTTGTTAATTTATCCGCACATTCTTTTATTATTTTTTGAATACCTGAATAAAAATTTTGAATCTGTCACTGACCCACCCAATATTTGACTAGCAAACTCATTTATACATTGATAAACACAAGGCCAAAAAGGTCCACATTGACAAGTCAAAATCAATTAAATTCATACAACTACAAGTAGGGTTGTTCATGGTTATGGTTAAATTATTATACCGAATCACAATCTGAATCAAATCGATTAAAAAATATTTGGTTTGGTTTTAAATTTTGAAAACGGATACTATTTGGTTTGGTTTTGATTTTACTAGAAAAACAATCGCAAATATAACCAAACCGAATCGATAAATAAGATATATAAATTTTACAGTTATTTATATATTATTCATAAATAAAATATAGATATTTTGTTGAATTTAATTAACTTAAGTACTTTAGTTTTAATTTTTTCAAGTCAAGCAGTTAAATTTAAGCCCAACTACTACAATACTAAGTCCAAGTCCATCAAAATCCATTACATTAGGAGTCGTTTGGTAGAGTTTATTAGCAAAAATAAATAGTAATGCATGCATTTACTCTATGTATTAATAGTTCCTTGTTTAATACCTTTTCATTCTATGATAACTATTATGCACTCTATTGTGTATTGAGGAGTGTATTACGAATAATACCATGAATTTTTATGTATTAGTAATACAAAGAGATTTAATGTATGCATCATCATAGTTAAAGACTAAATTACTTTTCAAAAGTCATTCTACATTTTTTTCACCATTTTGTGGAGGGTTATTTTGTAAATTAATATTTTTATATAATACATACTATTTTTAATACATCAAATCAAACAACGCATAAGAAACAATCCATGGATAACTAATGCAAGTATCACTAATATAATCTAGTAAGCATTATTTATATACATTTTACCAAATGACCCCTTAGTCTTTACCTACCCTATCTTACATAAGATAGTTACACTTTCTTATTTCAATCACTTTATTCGTGTTATAATAACTCTAATATTGCTTCATTACTTAATTAATATGACAATAACTTTCCTTTAGATTGTTCATGTACTAGGTGTGTGTATCTGTTGAGATACGTATTGTCATAAAAAAAGTTTATTACTCTCAAACCAAAAAAACTGAACCAAAACCAAAACGACAATAACCAAATGATAGTTATTTTTTTGTTTGAGTTTAGAAATTCAAAAGCCGTCCAGATTGATTTGATTTTGATTTTAACCAATAATCAATTCAAATCGAACTACAAACACCCCAATCACAAGGTTCGAATTCGAATTTTGCTGGTAGCATCTAATTAATTAAATTAGATATGTCCATTATGACCTCGTCTCATATTAACAGATCCTCTTCATTTGTCAAGAAAATCTATGTAGTTGTTTGGTTTTCTTCAGATATGAATGAAATTCATATTGGTCACTTCTAGCAAATACTTGTAATCTCTTACAAATAATTGAAAAAAAAATAATCATTTTTAGATTTTTAATCTATAAAAATAAAGATATATTGTAAAAAAAAAATTAACTAAAAATAAATATCTTTTGCTTACCTAACTGAACAAAACACAAAAAACATTTTTCATCATAATGAATACATACTCTGTACTACTAGGTTGAAGATCGATTTTTTTCATTTCGGTTTTACTTTTTTTTTTTGTGTGTGTAAATTAATATGGATAAGACTTTAGAAGAAAAGACATAAGTTCCTTCCTAAACTTGTACTGAAAAGTCAGTTACACATTTTAACTATCATAACTATCTATTACACACCTTAACTACTTCAAAATGAATTTAATACCACCCTAATAAGTGCAACACCACTCTCAGAGTATGCAATGTATTACACTCGCTGCCACATCAGCACCATGACAAAAATTGCATTTTTAAATATTGTTTACTTTTTTTTTTTTTATTACTTATGTTTTAATTTATTAATTATAGTTTACACTAATTAATTTCTAATCAATTATTATAGTTCTCTAAAAATGGGTTGAAAATTACTTATAAAATAAGTTCAGGGGGCAATAGGACCTTAGTATAGTATAAGTGTGTCTCTGGAATTTCGGGCACAAGTTGAGGAGGTACTTGTGCATTATCCCTAAAAATAAAGATGTATTGTTAAGAAAAAAGAAAAACATGAAACTAAAAATAAATTAGCACGATTTTCCTTGTCCTCTTGATCGCTTTGAATTTTTTTTTACTACTTCTCTATCATTAATCCTAGGTCAGTTAACTTCGAGACTTGAAGTGGGTCCACCACAAAAATAAATATATTTTGCTTACATAACTCAATACGCACAAAAAACACATGTTTCATCATAATGAGTACTCCAACCTAAATGCTACTAGGTGAAAGATTCGATTTTTTCATCTAGGTTTTACTCTTCTTCTTTTTTTTGTGTATTAATATGGGTTAGAGATTTGATTTTAAGTATATGGTGTTGATAAAGATTGTGTCTTTATTTATTGGGAGTAAGAAAATATTTATATTTATTTGTGTTGTGTTGTTATGCGTTTGACCATGAAAATAAAATTTTATTTAGTTTATTTACAATTTGTAAAGTTAGAATCGGAATTGTGTTTGCCATGATATTTAAATTTTTTTTTTATAAGTTGAATGTGTTTTTTTATAAATATATTTCTTTAGAGAGTTTTCTACTGTGATATTATGCGTATACAAAGAATTCAAGAATTTGATGAAGGTACATTTGCAATATTAATGACACATTTATTTGGTTGGTGGTTGTAGTTGATGTTCTTTAATTTGGTTGGTGGAAAAAATAAATTAGATGTTTTTGGTAAAAAATAATAAATTGAGGTGATATTAATGAAATATTTATTTGGTTGGTGGTTCTAGTCGATAAAACTGTGGAGAAAAAAATATTGGGCTTTAAACTTGTAGAGAAACAAGGAGAAAGAAGTTAAAAAACCTATCAAGAAAAGAAAAAAAAGGTAATGTTGAAAACAAGTTTCACGATTGACATTTTACATTAATGGTCTTTACGCTCATTTGAATAAATCTCTTCTTCACTCTTATTCTCGTAGCCCCAATCCTCATTCATCTATTATACTAATTATGTAGTTTATATACAAATATTTTTTGCTTACCTAACTAAACACAATCTTTTTTTGTCACCGTGAATACTCTACCATTACTTAAAAGAAAAAAAAAACCTTACTATTCTTAATTAGGTTGTGATTCTCCGTACATAAGTAGTGTTTAGATGGTTAAAGAATGACAAAAGTCCACATCGGTGGTTAATGAGATGAGTGGACACCTTAGAAGGCTTGGACAATTCTCATCTCTTTGATTTAACTTTTGGGGTGAGAGGTGGAGTTTTAAAGTCCCACATTGGTGGTTAATGAGATGAGTGGACTCTTTAAAAGGTTTGATCAATCCTCATCTCTTTTTCTTAGCTTTTGTGGCCTAAGACCTAATTCAACATAGATAAGTGTTTTTGCACAGTTACCTAATCGCATTAATGAGTACCAATTTATGTGTGTGCACAAAATTGTGATGCAGTTGGTTCACACACATTATGGATGCACATATGTACGATGATGCAATGAAAGGCAGTACGGAATATCGTGATTATTCAGCTTCTATTCGTCTGACAAGGGAAAAAAAAAATGGTTACCAAGTCACTCCAAAGGTTTACATTAATGGTCTTTACTATTAATATTTTACATTAATGGTCTTTACGCTCATTTGAATAAATCTCTTCTTCACTCTTATTCTCGTAGGCCCAATCCTCATGATACCACACCCCTATACACACATTCATCTATTATACAAATTATGTAGTTTATATACAAATATTTTTTGCTTACCTAATTAAACACAATCTTTTTTTGTCACAGTGAATACTCTCTTTGTTTTTAAAAGAAAGATCTCCTCTATTTTATTGTGTTTAAAAAAGAATGAGTTTTTGCTTTTTTTAGTTAACAGTTTCATTTTAATTTTTCACGTGACTTGTTTAAAGCGACAAGATTAAAGAACAATTTTGTATATTTGACATAACTTTAATTTAGAATCACAAAATTTAAAAGTTATTTTTTTATTTTCTTAAACTCCGTGCCAAGACAAACTAGGTCTTTCTTTGTAAAAAGAAGAAAATACATCCTAAATGCTAATTAGGTTGAATTTTCTATTTTTTTTTCATCTAGGTGTTACTTTTTGTGTACGAATGTGGGTTAAAGATTCATGGCGGAAACTAATGTATTTAGTTGCTTTACCTTATCTTTTAAGTCAAAAATAAAAAAATATCAAACCCAATTAATTTTAACCAAAAATCACTTGCCCACCCAATATTTGACTGTAAGCTCCTTTATACATTGATAAACACAAGGGCTTAAAAGGTCCAAATGACAAGTTAACATCAATTAGATTCATGTAACTAGGAGGTTTGCATTTGAATTTTGCTAGTAACATGTAATCAATTAAATTAGATAATCATTATTACCTCGTCCCATATTAACGAGTCTTGTTTATTTGTCAGAAAATCTATATATTTGTTGCTATTAACGAAATTCATTTCGCACGGTGGCTTCAAGTAAATTACTGCAATCTCGTATAAAAAATAATTGTTGTCTGTTTGAGAATCAGGAGATAATTTACCATTTGTATTTATTTTACGATTGCAATTAAATACTGTTTATGATTTAAAATATTTTTCAAAACATTAAATTTAATAAAGTCAAGGTAATATTACCTCTAGTATTTTTAAAATAATATATCAAAGTGAATAGTGAACAACAGAGGGAGTATAACAATGCTTTTGATTATTATAGGTATTTTCTCTATCCTAATTTTATAATGTGTTAATGTTTGAGTCATGTGCACAAAATATAAGGAATAATTTTGCTATGCAGTTGGATCACACACACATTATGGATCCAAGAATGTACGATGCTGCAATGGAAGGGGAACTGGTATATTACAATTTTTCAGTTGTTGATCATCTGACAAGGGATGAAGAAAATGGTTACCAAGTCACTCCAAAGGGAAACACAATCCTTCATGTGGCAGCTCTCTTTGGCCGACAGAATTTTGTGAGAGAAGTCCTTAAGCGTACCCCGGCATTGTTACTTTATAAGAATAAGAAAAATGAAACTGCGCTTCACATTGCAGCTAATGTAGGACAAAGTGAAGTGGTAAATGAACTGCTTAGCATACAAGGACAGGAGACAGTACTTGTGAGGATGACGGATGACATTGGAGATACGGCCTTGCACAAGGCCGTTAGAAGTGGACACATTGACATTGTGAGGATCTTGATGAATTTATTACTAGATCCTGAACACGACTTCCCAGCAAATAAGGCAGAGGAGACACCACTTTATCTGGCAGCGGAGTCAGGTTTTCATGATGCTTTGATTGAAATCTTGAAAGTTTGCAAAGAACCAACACATGTTGCAGGTCCATCCAATCGAACACCTCTACATGCAGCTGTGATTCAAGAACACGCGGGTAAATACGTTGTTTGTCCTTAAGTCCTAGCTATTTTCTGTATGAGTTTTGTGTTAGAAAACTCCAAATTTAGCAATAACCAAAGTAGGCCATTATTGAAATCAATTTACCAAGATAATATGTCTTTTACAAAATTAGTATAAACGTAGTTCTCAGTAACGTTTTAGGTGATATTTTATTTTTAAAAAATCCAGACAAAAATCTAATAGAGTAAACAGACATTCGTAAACGTTATTGTCAGTAACGTTTTATAATTATTACTTACAGCTAAAACGTGACTCACACGAACATTTCTCTGGAACGGTTGAAAATTGAAATTCATGTCTTATCTAATGAAAAGTTAGAAGAACGGTTATACAATTATATATGTTGAAGCTTTGGCTAACAGTTATCTCCGGTTACTTTAAAGATTTATTTACCCCTCCCCGGTTAGCATTAGCTATAGTTTAAACTTCATTTTCAGCTTTAGAAAGTCACATGGCATGCTCTAGTTGAATAAAAAAAAATATTTGACGTGTATATATATAACCAGAATGCGCGATGGCACTATTGCATTGGAAGGGAGATTTATGCGAAGAATATGATGTATGGGGTTGGAATTCACTACACTATGCTGTTAAACAAGGATTGACAGAAATAGTTTCGGATATGTTGAGTCGGAATAAATCCTTAGCCTACAAACAGGCAGGCAGCGAAAATGAGTGGACGACCACGTTTAACATTGCAGCCAGTGAAGGTCATGAAGCGATGATACATGAGTTATTACGACACTGCTCAGATTGTTGGGACATGGTTGATAGCAATGGCCGAAATGCTCTTCATGTTGCCATAATGAATGATGGAGAATTAATGGTCAAGTTGTTACGTGAGTTTATATTTTGTGATAGCCTTGTCGATGAGGCAGATAATGATGGGAATACTCCACTACATTTGCTTGCTGCTTACGGGAAACATCTGCCTCTATCAGTATTATTCCATCCAAGCGCAAAGAAGATGGCATTTAACAGAGAAAATAAGACTCCACTTGACATAGCATCCTCTCGCACTCTCACAACAGAGAAGGTACATTTTAATTTTCTACAAATTTTTTTTATTTCCTTTGTGCTTTTACTTAGACACAAAGTTTTGAATTTTGTCATCTTAACTAAAGATATAAAGTATCAAAATAAGTGCAATCCATCATATTAATAGGAAACTTAGAATTAAAGAATTAACATTGAAAATTAGAAAATCATGTTAGAATTATCACTCTTAAATATGTTTTGTGTTTTATTTAATTACTATAAATGTTAAACATAATAATGTATTAGGAGAGATTGGTAGCCGTTTTGCGCAAATTTAATGCACGATTGGGACAACGTTGTAACTCTGAGGTACAACGTCAAATCGAAATACAAGAGATGAGGAAGAATGATGATGAAGCCAGAGCTAAGAGAGAGAAACTAAAAATGGAAAAAATTCTGAAATCAACTGAAATACAAATAGTTGTTGCTACTCTAATAATGACAGTGGCGTTCGCAGCTGGTTTCACATTACCAGGAGGTTTAGAGAACGATAACGGTCCTAATAAAGGGATGTCGATTCTATTAAAGAAAACAGCATTCCGTGTATTTGTTATTTCGGATGTCCTGGCATTTACATGCGCTGCTGCTGCTATATACATCTACTCTGTCATGGCAAATTGCGATGTAGTGGCTGGTGAAATCAACGTGCACTTGCTTAATGATTTACGGATGAATTATGATACAGCAAGTAATCTGCAAGGTTTTGCAATGGCTGCAGTTGTAGTTGCATTTGTAACTGGTATATATGCTGCTTTAGAAAATTCACTTGGACTTGCTGTTACTGTTTGTGTCATTGCTTGTGTCTATTTTCCCATCTTCGTTTATATTAATAGGACTTGGAATATTGTAGCTAAGTTTTTTCGGGCAATTCATGAGTTATTTAGATCATAGTCAGAAGCAGGAAGTCAGTCTTGATATTATACTAAAAGCCCTATCTTCAGACAGAGCAGAGCAGCTGGCTGGTCAATCTCAGAGATCGTATCGATCTATGTAGCGTATTAGAGAAACTAATGCATGCATTATTATTAGTATCTTGTTTGATACATTTTGCAATATGTGTTTATACTCTATTGTGTATTGCGTACGTATCACTAATATCATCGATTTTTATGCATTAGTAATGGATCGGAATGAGTTCTAAAGCATGCATGCATTACCATAATTAAATACACAAGTCATGTACCTCAAAACCTTTTCTATATCCTTACTGCTAGGGGTGTACATAATCAAGTTATGCTAGGGATGTACATAATCAAGTTAATTAGTTCGAATTTTTTCAAATATCAAATCAATTTCCCCACAACATTTCTGAGTGATCTATACTCTGCTTCAACTGATGATAGAGAAACGGTATCTTGTTTCTTAGACTTCCAGCTGATGAGGTTGTTTCCACGTAATACTAAATAGCCACCGACTGATCTCATTGAGTCTGGACATGATGCCCAATCGAAATCACAGAATGCTTGAACGGTGCAGTCAGGGTCCTTAGACAAATGAACTCCTAAAGTAGTATCCTTTTTGAGGTATCTAAGTAGGTGATAAGATGCTTATAGATGTGGAGCTTGCGGATCCTGCATGAATTGGATTAAGTGTTGTACACTGAAAGTTATGTCTAGTCTAGTATTCGTTAAGAAATTCAATTTGCCTATCAACTTTCTATAGAAAGTGAGATCAGGCAAAGGAGCCCCTTCCCTGGCTCTTAATTTAACAGTAGGATCTAGAGGGGAAGATAAATGTTCATAATTGAAGCAATCATATTCTTTGAGCAAGTCTAAAACAAACTTTCTCTGAGAAATGAGTACTCCATCTGTTGTATCAAGAATCTCCAAGCCCAGAAAACAATGAAGTCTTCCAAGATCTTTGATTTTGAAAGTGTTGTCCAGGTACACTTTCAGTTGTGTAATCTCAGTTGTGTCTGTTCCTGTCAGAATAACATCATCTACATATACTGCAACAAACACTACCAAGGATCCCTCTTTTCTATAAAATAATGAGTGATCATAATGTGAATGTGAGTAGCCTATGGATGACAATGCCTCAGTTAGTTTAGCATACCACTGCCTACTTGCCTGTTTAAGACCATAAAGTGACTTGTTTAGCTTACAGACTAGTCTTGGATTAGGCAGCTAAAGGCCTGGAGGTACTTTCATATAGACTTCTTCATGAAGATCTCCATGAAGGAATGCATTATTAACATCAAGTTGAAACTTTCCCCAACCTTTCTTCACAGCACATGCTATTAAAGTTCTTACAATAGTCATTTTAACCACGGGTGAATAGGTTTTAGTATAATCAACTCTAGCCTGTTGTGAATACCCTTTCACTATCAATCGTGCCTTGAACCTTTCTATGCTTCCATCTGCCTTATGTTTAACTTTGTACACCCACCTATATCCAACTGCTTGTTTGTGTTGTGTTAAGGCAACAAGGTCCTAAGTATTATTAGCATACAATGCTTTAAATTCTTGTGTCATGGCCCTCTGCCATGCAGGATTTAGTGATGCTTCCTCATATGATGATGACTCACTATCATGACAAATATTCTCAACAAGTGACTGACTATTAGATGCAATGACTTCAGGAGACACATGGTGGTGTTTAGTAAATAGTGCAGTAAGAGACAAGTTGGTATTAAGTTGTGTGTTTTGTGTGTTGGTGTTAGTTGATTTCAGGTTGGGAATGTTAACAATGTAGTCTTTCAAATGTCATGGAATTTTATTTTCCCTATGAGACTTTTCTGTGCACTATTGTTGGACGAAGCCATGGAGATCTTCAATTGAGAATTGAGAGAAAACAATAACATAGAAGACATTGTAGTTTTGTAAAAATGATAGATGATCTTTATTCATCACTAATGAGATGCTTATATACATGTGTTTTAGATGAATCAATTAGTCTATATATCTAACTAACTAACTATGACGTTATTAACTACAAAATGGAATCTAACTAACTGAATGAATAATTGATACACATGCTTTAATTATGATTGTTAATAATTATAAATGTGTACCATACATATCCTTTGTAAATTTTTTAATTGTCAATTCTTTGGCGCGTTCTTTTTCTAGGCCTATATAAGCTCAACACTTGTGAAAAAGATACATATAAAAGATTATCTTTTTATGTGAATTCCCTAGTTTTCATCAACGAGCGTATATGGAGCAATTAGTTAAGACGATTGCATCATAGCCAGATCAAAATTACCATGACATTGTGTTCAATATCAATATTGTTTAATATTTCTAATATACATAGTAGTTCTAGTTTTCACTAACAACAAATGTTGGGAGATCAATAAATTTATCCATCCTTGATTGAAAGATTTGAATTCAAATCTAAAAATAAAGAAACTTTTACTAGAAAACTCTTTCTCTTTCACGAATCCAAATTTGAATTAATTGTATAAATTAATTTCGTGTATATATATATATGTGTATATATATATAGTTATATATATATATAGTTATATAGTTATTTTAATCATAAATTTGACAATAATTAATATGGATAAAAATGAAAAACTATATTCAATTTATTTCTTCATCTACTTTTCTTAAAAGAGTGCGAAACATCTCGAAAATTCAATCAATATGAAATGGAAGGAATATATAAAAAAAGGCTAAAGTCATATGCGGCCCCTTGAAGTTGTCCGCATATTTCATTTGAACACCTCAACTTATCTTTGTTCCTATTGAATACTTTATTTGTTCAAAAGTCATTCCTATTAGACACAAATTGCTGACATGTCAAAAAACGTATACCACACTCTCTTTGGGCGCGTAAAACTATTGAAAATAATTTTTTTTCTTTTTTTATTAACTTATATGCAGAAATTAATAAAAAAGGAAAAAACAATTTCTTTTGAAAAGGAAGTCTTCTTCTCCACTTCCTTTGCCATTTTCATCTTCCATTTTCATAATTTTTTTTCACATACACAGCACACCCCATCCTCTTCACCGATCTGTTTCTTTTACCGTCTCCAATTCTTCTTCTGCTTTTTCCTTTTTATTCCTTTTTAATGTAAATTTGCATATTTAATATTCCGACAAAACTTTATTTATTCCGGCGAAATAAATATGAATTAATAAAAAATGGTTATTATCTATTATAATTGCGATAAATAATTACAAATGGAAAAAAGATAAATGCAATAAATTGAAGGTTTTGATGATTTTAAAATGAAAAAGAATAGATATTTAGCTTGGGTGGATGGTGTATTACCGACGTTAATGAAAGGAGTAAGATTCGATGGAGGAAAAAAAGATGTGAGTTGATCAATGGAGGAGAAGGAAGAGGTCGGATGATGGTTTACTGGCTTGTTGGGGCTGCCATCGGCGTTGATCGATGGAAGAGCAGCTATGGTTTTTAAAGAAGAAGACGCAGGGTAGGGGGTAATTAATAAGAAAAAAATATTTTCTTTTAAAAAAAACATTTTAGATTATTTAAATAAGTTAAAAAATTGGATTTTAATGCCACGTGTCATCATTTTATTGATATGTTTATTGTGTGTCAACGTTTGAAATACACGCATCTTAATGTTTTAACTGATTGTTATTTTGTGTTAAATAGGTATATATTTCTTAAGGTCCAAGCGTTCAATAGGTACAAATCTAACTTAAAAAGGTGTCTAAGTGAAATATGCGGACAACTTCAAGGGGCCGCGTATGACTTAAGCCTAAAAATAAAGATGTATTGTAAAACAAAAAAAAACATGAAACTAAAAATAAATTAGCACGATTTTCCTTGTCCTCTTGATCGCTTTGAATTTTTTTTTACTACTTCTCTATCATCAATCCTAGGTCAATTAACTTCGAGACTTGAAGTGGGTCCACCACAAAAATAAATATCTTTTGCTCACCTAACTCAACATGCACAAAAAAAACATGTTTCATCATAATGAATACTCCATCCTAAATGCTACTAGGTGAAAGATTCGATTTTTTCATCTAGGTTTTACTCTTCTTTTTTTTTTTTTTTTTTTATATTAATATGGGTTAGAGATTTGATTTTAAGTATATGGTGTTGATAAAGATTGTGTCTTTATTCGTTGGGAGTAAGAAAATGTTTATATTTATTTGTGTTGTGTTGTTATGCGTTTGACCATGAAAATAAAATTTTATTTAGTTTATTTAGAATTTGTAAAGTTAGAATCGGAATTGTGTTTGCCATAATATTTGAATTTCTTTATATAAGTTGAATGTGTTTTTTTATAAATATATTTCTTTACAGAGTTTTCTATTCTGATATTATGCGTATACAAAGAATTCAAGAATTTGATGGAGGTAAATTTGCAATATTAATGACACATTTATTTGGTTGGTGGGTGTAGTTGATATTCTTTAATTTGGTTGGTGGAAAAAATAAATTAGATGCTTTTGGTAAAAAATAATAAATTGAGGTGATATTAATGAAATATTTATTTGGTTGGTGGTTCTAGTCGATAAAACTGTGGAGAAAAAAATATTGGGCTTTAAACTTGTAGAGAAACAAGGAGAAAGAAGTTAAAAAACCTATCAAGAAAAAAAAGGTAATGTTGAAAACAAGTTTCACGATTGACATTTTACATTAATGGTCTTTACGCTCATTTGAATAAATCTCTTCTTCGATTGACATTTTACATTAATGGTCTTTACGCTCATTTGAATAAATCTCTTCTTCACTCTTATTCTCGTAGCCCAATCCTCATACATCTATTATACTAATTATGTAGTTTATATTCAAATATCTTTTGCTTACCTAACTAAACACAATCTTTTTTTGTCACCGTGAATACTCTCTTTGTTTTTAAAAGAAAGATTTTCTCTCTTTTATTGTGTTTAAAAAAGAATGACCTTTTGTTTTTTTAGCTAACATTTTCATTTTAACTTTTCGCGTGACTTGTTTAAAGTTACAAGATTAAAAAACAATTTTGTATATTTGACATAACTTTAATTTAGAATTACAAGATTTAAAAGTCTTTTTTATTTTCTTAAACTCCGTGCTAAGACAAACTAGGTCATTCCTTATAAAAAGAAGGAAATACATCCTAAATGCTAATTAGGTTGAATTTTCTATATTTTTCATCTAGGTGTTACTTTTTGTGTACGAATGTGGGTTAAAGATTCATGGCGAAAACTAATGTATTTAGCCGCTTTACCTTATCTTTTAAGTCAAAAATAAAAAATATCAGACCCAATTAATTTTAACCAAAAATCACTTGCCCACCCAATATTTGACTGTAAGCTCCTTTATACATTGATTAACACAAGGGCTTAAAAGGTCCAAATGACAAGTTAACATCAATTAGATTCATGTAACTAGGAGGTTTGCATTTGAATTTTGCTAGTAACATGTAATCAATTAAATTAGATAATCATTATTACCTCGTCCCATATTAACGAGTCTTGTTTATTTGTCAGAAAATCTATATCTTTGTTGCTTTTAACGAAATTCATTTTGCACGGTGGCTTCAAGTAAATTACTGCAATCTCGTATAAAAAAATAATACTTGTTTGTTTGAGAATCATGAGATAATTTACCTAGTTGTATTTATTTTACGATTGCAATTAAATACTGTTTATGATTTAAAATATTTTTCAAAACATTAAATTTAATAAAGTCAAGAATAATATGGTAATATTACCTCTAAAATAGTATATCAAAGTGAATAGTGAACAACAGAGGGAGTATAACAATGCTTTTGATTATTATAGGTATTTTCTCTATCCTAATTTTATAATGTGTTAATGTTTGAGTCATGTGCACAAAATATAAGGAATAATTTTGTTATGCAGTTGGATCACATACACATTATGGATCCAAGAATGTACAATGCTGCAATGGAAGGGGAACTGGTATATGACAATTTTTCAGTTGTTGATCATCTGAGAAGGGAGGAAGAAAATGGTTACCAAGTCACTCCCAACGGATCTTGATGAGATTATTACTAAATCCTGAACACGACTTTCCAGCCAATAAGGCTGGGGAGACACCACTTTATTTGGCAGCGGAGTCTGGTTTTTATGCTGCTTTGATTGAAATCTTGAACGTTTGCGAGGAATCAACACATGTTGCAGGTCCATTGAATCGAACACCTCTACATGCAGCCGTAATTCAAAAACACACAGGTAAGAAACGTTACTTAATTGCTATTTTTTTTATTTATGTCAGAATTAATTCCTCCGTTACACGTCAATTGTTGAACGTAAATTTAAAAAGTAGTTTATGTAATATTTGACGACCAGAATGCGTGGTGGTACTATTGCTATGGAAGGAACATTTATGCGAAGAATATGATGTATGGGGTTGGAATTCACTACACTATGCTGTTAAACAAGGATTGACAAAAATAGTTTCGTATATGTTGAGACGGAATAAATCCTTAGCCTACGATCGGGCAGGCAGCGAAAATGAGTGGACGACCGCGTTTAACATTGCAGCCAGTGAAGGTCATAAAGCGATAATACATGAGTTATTACGACACTGCCCAGATTGCTGGGACATGGTTGATAGCAATGGCCAAAATGCTCTTCATGTTGCCATATTGAACGATCATGAAATTTTAGTCAATGAGTTATTTGAGTTGAGATTTTGTTGTGATAGACTTGTTGATGAGGCAGATAATGATGGGAATACTCCACTCCATTGGCTTGCTGCCTCTGGGAACCGTGTGCCTCAAATGATATTAGACCATCCTAGCGTTAAGAAGATGACATTTAACAAACAAAACCAGACTCCACTTGACATAGCATCCTCTCGCACTCTCACAACAGAGAAGGTACATTTTAATTTTCTACAAATTTTTTTTATTTCCTTTGTGCTTTTACTTAGACACAAAGTTTTGAATTTTGTCATCTTAACTAAAGATATAAAGTATCAAAATAAGTACAATCCATCATATTAATAGGAAACTCAGAATTAAAGAATTAACATGTTATGTATTGAAAATTAGAAAATCATGTTAGAATTATCACTCTTAAATATGTTTTGTGTTTTATCAATTACTATAAATGTTAAACATAATAATGTATTAGGAGAAATTGGTAGCCGTTTTGCGCGAATCTAATGCACGATTGGGACAACGTCGTACCTTTGAGGTACATCAAAGCTGTTGAATGCCTTGAATCGGACCCGCTACAAACAGAAAGGACGGGGGTCTCGCTGCCCGGTCAGCGAGTCGGGGGGTCCAGGGGGGCGACGCGCCCCCTGGCCTGGGGGTCCGGGGGGGCGGAGACGCCCCCGGGCCGACGGTATACAATGTTGTTGTATTGGGCCCTTAATTTTCTGTTGATTCTGTATGTTGGGCCCAAGCCTGTTAGGGCGTAGCTTAGCACTATATATAGACGCTATGGGAAACCCTATTCTGTAATTCTGTTTTTGCCTCTCCATAATAAAACTGCTCCCTCTCTTCCCGTGGACGTAGCCAATTTGTTGGTGAACCACGTAAATCTGTTGTCTTATTTTTCGCGTTTATATTTTCTCGTATTATCTCAAATTCCGCACAACAAATTGGTATCAGAGCCTCTCGGTTAATCGGTGTTCTTGGAGAATTCGAGATGTCTGCTTTGAACGTGAAAATCGACAAATTCACAGGGAGGAACAGTTTCAGTTTATGGCAGATCAAGATGCGGGCCTTGTTGAAACAGCAAGGCTTCTGGGCGCCGTTGTCGAAAGACAAGAACGCCGTCGTTACTCCTGAGATGGCGATTCTGGAGGAAAAGGCGCACTCGACGATCATGCTGTGTCTCGCGGATGACGTCATCACGGAGGTCTCGGATGAAGAGACTGCTGCTGGTCTGTGGTTGAAGCTGGAGAGTTTGTACATGACAAAATCTCTAACCAACAAGCTGCTTCTGAAACAACGTCTATTCGGTTTACGAATGGCTGAAGGTACACAACTCAGGGAACACTTAGAGCAATTGAATACTTTGTTATTAGAATTGCGTAATATCGATGTGAAGATCGAGGATGAAGATGCTGCCCTGATTCTGTTAGTATCTCTCCCAATGTCGTTTGAGAATTTTGTTCAATCGTTCATTGTTGGGAAAGATACTGTGTCACTGGAAGAAGTCAGATCAGCCCTTCATAGCAGGGAATTACGGCATAAGGCTAACGGCACAAGTACGGACATACAGCCTTCCGGTCTGTTCACCAGTAGCAGAAAGGGAAGGAAAAACGGCGGAAAGAAAAATAAGCCGATGTCGAAGGGTGCAAAGCCGGATGATGTTTGTAATTACTGCAAGGAGAAGGGACATTGGAAATTTGATTGTCCGAAGAAGAAGAAGCAATCGGAAAAACAATCAGTGTCTGCTGCTGTTGCTGAAGAAGACACCAATTCTGAAGAAGATATTGCCCTAGTTGCGGATGAGCACACTCATCATTCAGATGTGTGGGTTCTTGATTCTGGGGCATCCTATCACATCTGTCCTAGGAGAGAGTGGTTCACGACTTATGAGCAGGTAGACGGAGGCAGCATCTCGATGGCCAACAGTTCTGTCTGCAAGGTGGTTGGGACAGGCTCGATCAAGATAAGGACACATGACGGTAGCTTCTGCACATTGAACGAGGTCAGGCACGTTCCATTGATGACGAAAAATCTGATATCTCTCAGTCTTTTGGACAGCAAGGGATTCAGCTGGTCGGGAAAAGATGGAGTCTTGCGGGTCTGGAAGGGTTCAAATTTGATTCTGAAAGGTGTCATGCGTGGTACTTTGTATTTTCTACAAGGTTCCACGGTTACAGGTTCAGCCCATGTTGCATCGTCAGAATTTCACCAGAAGGATATGACTAAGTTATGGCACATAAGACTTGGTCATATGGGTGAAAGAGGGATGCAAATTCTGTCAAAGGAGGATTTACTTGCTGGTCATAAGGTTAAGAGCCTAGAGTTTTGTGAACATTGTGTTTTTGGAAAACTACATCGCAACAAGTTTCCAAAGGCCATTCATAGAACAAAAGGCACACTTGATTATATCCATTCTGATTGCTGGGGTCCATGCCGTGTTGAGTCTTTGGGAGGCTGCAGATTTTTTGTGTCCATTATTGATGACTACTCAAGGATGACTTGGGTGTACATGATGAAGCATAAAAGTGAAGCCTTCCAGAAGTTCAAGGAGTGGAAAATTTTGATGGAAAATCAAACAGGGAAGAAGATCAAGAGGTTGCGAACTGATAATGGGCTGGAATTCTGTTGGTCTGAATTTGATCAATTCTGTAAGGATGAAGGGATTGCTCGACATCGCACAGTCAGAAATACACCACAGCAGAACGGTGTAGCTGAGCGGATGAATCAAACACTTCTGGAGAGAGCAAGGTGCATGCTCTCTAATGCTGGGCTAGATAGAAGATTCTGGGCAGAAGCGGTTAGTACAGCTTGCTACTTGATTAACCGCGGACCACATACAGGTATACAGTGCAAGACACCTATGGAGATGTGGTCTGGAAAAGCTGCTGATTATTCAAATCTGAAAGCTTTTGGTTGTACGGCTTACTATCACGTCAGTGAAGGTAAGTTAGAACCAAGAGCTAAAAAGGGAGTATTTGTGGGCTACGGAGATGGAGTGAAAGGTTTCAGAATCTGGTCTCCAGCAGAAAAGAGGGTTATTATGAGCAGGAACGTTGTCTTTGATGAAAGTCCTCTGCTTAGAACCATTGTGAAGCCTACAACTACGTCAGAAACTGGGAGTCTTGACAAACAGGTGGAGTTTCAAGTCATTCAGAACGAGAGCGATTTAAAGGAACCTGAAGAGGAGGATCAAGAGCCACAGACTGAAACTGATATTCCAGAATCTATGCCATCAGATATCCATCAGAGTATAGCTCAAGATCGGCCAAGGAGGGTTGGAGTTCGGCCACCTACGAGGTATGGTTTTGAGGACATGGTGGGTTATGCACTGCAGGTTGCTGAAGAGGTAGATACATCTGAGCCGTCTACTTACAAAGAAGCCATTTTAAGTTCTGATTCTGAAAAATGGTTTGCCGCTATGGGAGATGAGATGGAGTCCCTACACAAGAATCAGACATGGGATCTGGTCATACAGCCTTCGGGGAGAAAGATTATTACTTGCAAATGGGTTTTCAAGAAGAAGGAAGGGATATCACCAGCAGAAGGAGTCAAGTATAAAGCCAGGGTTGTTGCCAGAGGTTTCAACCAAAGAGAGGGAGTGGACTATAATGAGATCTTCTCACCAGTGGTCAGACATACTTCCATCCGAGTGTTACTAGCGATAGTTGCACATCAGAATCTGGAGCTTGAACAACTTGATGTGAAGACAGCGTTTCTACATGGAGAGTTGGAGGAAGAGATATACATGACTCAGCCGGATGGTTTCCAAGTTCCAGGGAAGGAAAATCACGTCTGCAAGTTGAAGAAGTCCTTATATGGACTTAAGCAGTCTCCAAGGCAGTGGTATAAAAGGTTTGACAGCTATATGGTGAAGTTGGGCTATACTCGGAGCTCATATGATTGTTGTGTCTACTACAATAGGCTCAATGATGATTCATTCATCTATCTGGTGCTTTATGTAGATGATATGTTGATAGCTGCAAAGAAGAAGTATGACATTCAGAAGCTGAAGGGTTTACTTAGTGCTGAGTTTGAGATGAAGGATCTGGGAGCCGCTCGGAAGATTTTAGGGATGGAGATCATTAGAGACAGAGAGAGAAGGAAACTTTTCTTGTCACAGAGAAGCTACATTCAGAAGGTCTTGGCGAGGTTTGGCATGTCTTCATCTAAGCCCATTGATACCCCCAGTGCTGCCAATATCCATCTCACTGCCATGTTCGCTCCACAGTCAGAAGAAGAGAAGGAGTATATGTCACGAGTCCCTTATGCCAGTGCCGTAGGAAGTTTGATGTATGCTATGGTCTGTACAAGGCCAGATTTAGCACATGCAGTCAGTGTAGTGAGCAGATTCATGGGACAACCAGGGAGAGAACATTGGCAGGCTGTGAAGAGAATTTTCCGGTACCTTAGAGGTACATCTGACGTTGGTCTCATTTATGGAGGTGATACTCAGTGCTTGGTTACTGGCTATTCTGATTCAGACTATGCTGGAGATGTTGACACAAGAAGATCGATGACTGGCTATGTGTTTACCCTTGGAGGATCTGTCGTCAGTTGGAAGGCAACTTTGCAACCTACAGTGACTTTGTCTACTACGGAAGCGGAGTACATGGCCTTGACAGAGGCTGCAAAAGAAGGGATTTGGTTGAAAGGGCTGGTTAGTGATCTTGGTCTGCATCATGATCAGGCTACGGTGTATTGTGACAGTTTGAGCGCAATTTGTCTAGCCAAGGATCAAGTCCATCATGAGAGAACCAAGCATATTGACGTAAGGTATCATTTTCTAAGAAGTGAGAAGAGAATCAAGGTGAAGAAAGTAGGAACTGCTGATAATCCTGCTGATATGTTCACAAAGCCGGTTCCACAGAGCAAGTTTCAACACTGTTTGGACTTGCTCAACATCAGAAGCTGTTAATTGCCCTGCGGGGCAACTCTGAGGAAGAGGGGGAGGCTTGGCACTATCATAGTGCGTCTGAAGAATCTGTTCGGAGAATTCAAGTCAAGGTGGAGATTTGTTGAATGCCTTGAATCGGACCCGCTACAAACAGAAAGGACGGGGGTCTCGCTGCCCGGTCAGCGAGTCGGGGGGTCCAGGGGGGCGACGCGCCCCCTGGCCTGGGGGTCCGGGGGGGCGGAGACGCCCCCGGGCCGACGGTATACAATGTTGTTGTATTGGGCCCTTAATTTTCTGTTGATTCTGTATGTTGGGCCCAAGCCTGTTAGGGCGTAGCTTAGCACTATATATAGACGCTATGGGAAACCCTATTCTGTAATTCTGTTTTTGCCTCTCCATAATAAAACTGCTCCCTCTCTTCCCGTGGACGTAGCCAATTTGTTGGTGAACCACGTAAATCTGTTGTCTTATTTTTCGCGTTTATATTTTCTCGTATTATCTCAAATTCCGCACAACAAAAGCAAAAATAGCAGAATGATAGATAAGATGAAGAAGCATGTTGATAAAGACAGAGCTAAGATAGAGACACTACAAATGGAAAAAATTCTGAAATCAACTGAAATACAAGTAGTTGTTGCTACTCTAATAATGACAGTGGCGTTCGCAGCTGGTTTCACATTACCAGGAGGTTTAGAGAACGATAACGGTCCTAATAAAGGGATGTCGATTCTATCAAAGAAAACAGCATTCCGTGTATTTGTTATTTCGGATGTCCTGGCATTTACATGCGCTGCTGCTGCTATATACACCTACTCTTTCATGGCAGATTGCGATGTAGTGGCTGGTGAAATCAACATGCCCTTGCTTAATGTTTTACGGATGAATTATGATACAGCAAATAATCTGCAACGTATTGCAATGACTGCAGTTGTAGTTGCATTTGTAACTGGTATGTATGCTACTTTAGAAAATTCACTTGCACTTGCTGTTAGTGTTTGTGTCATTGGTTGTTTTTCTTTTTACTTCTTCGGTTTAATTAATAGCAGTTGGGATATTAAAATTAATTCTCCTCTTCAGACAATTCATGAGTTATTTAGATCATAGGATATATTCGATGTATGTAGCAGTAGTGTATGTTTGTAATGTTACGTATTGGAGAAAATAATGCATGCATTATTATTAGTATCTTGTTTGATATATTTTGCAATATGTGTATATACTCTATTGTGTGTTGCGTATGTATTACTAATATCATAGATTTTTATGCATTAGTAATCGATCGGAATGAGTTCTAAAGCATGCATGCATTACCATGATTAAAGCGATATTCCCCCTAAATAGGCTTTAAGTCAATTTTTTTATATATTTTTTCTTTATTTCCAAGTGAAAAACCAGCTCTTGAAGGCAAAATTGGTCGATTTTCCCCTTCTCGTGAAATAGACATAAGACCTAATTTAAATCCAGATACATTATTATAAATGTGTATCATATCCTTGTAAACATTTTAATTGTCGTAATTCCCAACTAATTTTCCTTCACACATTCTATTCCACGTCTATATAAGCACAACACTTGTGAATAAGACACACATGGAAAGATTCTCCTTTTTATGCAAATTTTCCAATTCTCATTAACGTAGGGAGCAATTAGTTAAAACACTTGTTGAATTTTTCTAATATAATAGTTCTAGTTTTTACTAATAACAAATATTTCATCCTTAATCGAAAGATTTGAATTCAAATCATAAAAATAAAGAAACTTTTACGAGAAAATTCTTTCTCTTTATCGAATCTCTCACACACAAATAAATTTAAAAAATAATTGGATAAATTAATTTATGTGTACTAAATGACTATAAAACAAATTTTAGCTTAAATTCAAATCGATCTATTTAAGTTTGAGAACCAAGTACTCTTTTTTTATGTTGTTGAGGTAGTGTCGCATTAAATTTTTATAGTTTAAATTCTATTAAATAAAGTAATTTATTAAAATAATACGTTTTTAAATTTTTCTATAAAATTAGTATAAATGTATTTCACAGTAACGTTTTATGGTATATTTCATTTTTAAAAAACTGATGGCGTTAGGTCGATATACATTACTGTAAGTAACGTTTTAGATATAAAAGGTTACTTTGAATACGCTTTAGTAGTAAAACGCTACTATAAATAACGTATATCAACCTAACACCGTCGGCATTTAAAAAATATTTGTTTGATTTTAGACTTGTAAACAAGAAGAATCAAATATTTCTTTAGTTTTACTGTTTTCTCATTATTATTATTATTATTATTGTTCTTTTTTCCATTTGGGGTTTGCTTTTTGTGAATGATTCTATGAGTAGTTAAAGATTGGATTTTTAGTACATGCATGTTTGTTGCTATAGATTGTGTTTTTATCTTGGACTAGCTAGTGAGAAAATCATGTGTATATTTATCTTCAATTTGTCTAACTGGGGCACAGAATTTGAGAAATAACAAGACACCTCTTGGATAATGGATAAGAGAATGTACAATGTTGCAATGGAAGGGGAACTGGTATATGACAAATTTTCAGTTGTTGATCATCTGAAAAGGGAGGAGGAATTTACCATGGCAGATAGCGATGCAGACGTTGATGAAGAAATTAACGTTAATTTTAAGGAGGGATTATTGTGGTTTGCATTTGTTACTGGTATGCATGCACATTCACTTCCTCTTGATGTTACTGTTTCTGTCATTCCTTATATAACATTCGACCTTAAGGAATGTTATGATGTATACCAGATAATGTGAATCCAATAGTATTGCTATGTATACTTTGACAAAATTATGTATCTTATCACTAGCTAAGAGTTTCGTATTATATATTGAAGAATATATACCTAGATACGTATATTTTAGCCACCAGATACACTAATATAGGAGAGAGGCAAGCGAGACTAACATATATCGAGATGTCAACCCAAATACATAGGATAATAGCAAGTGAGATGGGAAGGAGCGAGACTAACATATATCGAGATGTGAATCCAATTGGATACAATGTATCTAGAATAAATTACACATAATTATAACCCCATGTATCTTGAGATATCTGTATCTAGGTATATCTAAACGCACCAAAATCTAATAAGATTTTTAATATTACAAACTAGATTGTATCTAAGTAATTAGCTCCTAATAAGTGAATTTTTTTAAATATAAATTTCTCTTTTATATTTGAAAAATAGTGACCAACTAACTATCTAGGAGAAAATCATGGACTCGATATCCTTACAAAATAATATATTTAAATAAGGGTGGTAAATGGTTGGATTGGACTGAATTTGGATAAATTGAATATAGATTGAGAAAAAATGGTTTGAATTACAATCCATCCAAATATAATATGGGCAAATATCTATTTGGTTAAATATGTGGTTTGGACAAAGTGGTTCTAACCTAATTAAATAAATTTGTTTTTCAAAAAAAAAATAATAATTTACTCTTCCCTATAGCCCCCCCCCCCCAGACCATCCACCAACCTACCCCTATTTTTTTTTTCGAAAAACAAAAAAAAACCTAATTTTTCAAAAAAAATAAAAAAATTTACCCCTCCTTCAGACACCCCTGAGCCCCATCCCTTCGGCACCCCCCTTCCTCTAACCTACCCCTAAAAAAATTTTGTTTTTCAGAAACAAAAAAAAAACGTTCTTCAAAAACAAAAAATTACCCCCTCCCCCAGACACTCCCACCCCCTACCCCTAAATTTTTTTGTTTTCCAAAAAAAATTTACCCCCTTCACCGTTTATCCCCTTCTTCCAACGGACTCCTAAATTTTTTTGTTTCCCAAAAACAAAAAATAAAAAATTGTTTCATTTCTTACTTATATATATAGGCTGAATATGGATTCTCATGTTAACTCATTTTGTTCATATTTGTTTGAGCTTAAGTAAGTTGAAGACCATATTAAACCCATTAAAGAAAGTGAAATGAAATATGAGCGATTCATTTAATTTAATATGAGAAAAATGATTTCATTTCACTTATATAGGTTGAAATATCCACCCCCTACATTAAAAGAAATGATATTTTTAATTAATTGCATTAGATATGTTTTAGTTCATTTTTTGTTTTTATTTTAGTTTATTAATTAATTTTTTTTAGGTATTGTGAGAAATTTAATGTTATGTATTGAAAATTAGAAAATCATGTTAGAATTAGTAATATTCACTCTTAAATATGTTTTGTTTTTGTGTTTATGTTTATTTAATTACTATACATGTTAAATATAAATATAATAATTGTTTTGTTTTTGTGTTTATGTTTATTTAATTACTATACATGTTAAATATAAATATAATAATGTAATAGGAGAAATTGGTAATCGATTTGGGTGACACTAATGCACGATTGGAACAACGTTGTAACTTTGAGTTAAAACGTCAAAGCGAAAATAGTAGAAAGATACAACTACAATAGATGAGGAAGAATGATGATGAAGCCAAAGCTAAGAGAGAAATTAATAGTCTAAAAACTAATGAAGTCAAGTGAAATACATGTAGTTCTAGCTACTCTATTATACATGTATTGAGTATGTATTACTAGTATCATCGATTCATATGCATTAGTAATGCAATGAAGTTCTAATGTATGCATGCATTATCGTGATTAAAACACAAGTCATGTCCCTCAAAACCTTTTCTACATCCTTTCCGCTAGGGGTGTATATAATCAAGTTAATTAGTTCGAATTTTTTAAATATTAAATCAAATCATTTGTGTTGAATTTTTTTATTTATAAACCAAATACAATTGTTTGTCTTGTGTTTATAATCGAAAAACTTAAATGATGTCGTTCAAATCAAACTTTATAACTATTTTCCCCTTCATTTATATAGGATAAGTGATTGTGAATGCTACTATTTATTCCAGCATGATTTGCTCGAATTATGTTTCCCATTCATCTTGTTATTGTTTTGAAATGAAGTAAATTGATTTGTGAATTATCAACACGTCTATATTTACAAATATTTAATTCATATATTTGGACAAAAAATTATTAAACTTGTGTGAAATTGAAACTGTTTCATATCCTCCCCAAATTACTATATAATTTATTTCATCTGGAAAATGAAATTAAATAATAACAAGTTGGATGATTAAGATGGAATATTTAAGATCAAAATTGAGATTAAATGTATACCTTCAATTTAAAAATATAATTTTAATCAGAGATATCTTAATAAAACGACCTCTAAAAGTACCCAAACGTCAGATAATTATATACATAGAGAGACAACAATATAACTTTTTGTTGTCATCATTAGATATTATAAAACTTATGTAGTAAACAAATATACTGTAATAAAAAAATATTTATTATTTATAATAATCATTTTTTTTACTTGATTATTTTTAATTTATTTATAATATAAATTTAATTTATATTATAAAGAATAATTTTTTATTCACACATAATACAAATTTTAATGATAGATAATTTATTTATCACATATTTTAATATATTTTTAGTACAATGTGTCAAATTTTTACCAAATAAATATAATATATTTTAAAAACAATTATAATTCATATATAATCCAAATATATTGCATATATAATTCACTTTTAATACATATTACAGATTTAACATAGTATTGCTATAAATAATATATAAAAAGTATTGCTAAAATTAATAATTATTTATTAAAATATACCAATTGATGTAATTTTTTTTAATTGGGGTTTCGCTATTTATTACTAATGAACTTTAACTTATCATGGACAATATACTTAATTTTGCTTTTACTCTTATTGTAAATATATGTAGAGAGATTAATATAATAAAAAGAAAATAATATAAATTGAAGGATAATTAATTAAATTAACATATTTTTAAAAGATAAGCAAAAGAAAAACATGACAAATATATTTATAAGTTGCTCAATACTTTCTTTGGTATTTGTTAGTTTTTTATTAATACTCTTTCAGTAGTAGGTAATGTAATTTCATAAGTAAGGTATAAAGAAGAATTATAAATAATAATGTGTACGTAGAATTTTATCTTTATTTGAAATATAAAAAAAATAAAATCGATAGATCCTCGATTCAAGAACTCAGTTAAACCTATTTTAATATTTTAGTAGTTTAATTGGTGATTATGTAATCCTAATAATCTCATTTCACTTTCTTCTCTATTTTTATAAGCATATAAAAAGTTGAAATTCTCTTTG